AATTTGTGTGATAAACTATATGGTCACCTGAGAAATGATAGAAGCATGGAACACATTATCAGTGTATTTTAAAGTGCACTGCTAATAATAACAAGCACTTTTGAACCTGCCAAGCACTGAGCTAAGCACTTTATAAGCATTGTCCCAAATCCTCCTCCCAACAATTTTGGAGGTAATTAGTATTTCAGTCCCCATGCCAAAGATGAGAAAGCTGAAGCTTATGTTAAGAGACATTCAGGAACTTGTTTAAGGACACTCAGTGGCCAAATTTCCAATTCAAGTAATCTTGTTTCAGAGGGCACACAATCAATTCATTATTTGTTTTATACCCACCTTAAAAAAAATTTGTAAGACATCTGAAAGAAATTTAACTTTGATGACCTACAAAATAATAGGATACTATAAAGTTGTCAGGTATATTCTAAGAAAACTTCAAAACTCTTCATAAAGTTTTTCACAAAGAGACTGATTTCCCTGTGACTCATAAAATAGTAAACGTATCTAAAAGGCAGATTCCATTCCCAACATATGATAAATTTTTTATTTCCTGCATGAACTGCCTCTTTTGTACCCAGGGGTCTATCAGTTACTTACTTGTCACCATATCCTCCTGTACTCTCTATCAAGGGGTTAAGATGAAAGTAAAAATAGGAAAGTAACCCCTATTAAAATGCTATCATGTATTTTGATTTAAGGTTTCTGGGCTTTTTAAAAATCTAATACTTTTCTAGTCTGAAGATTATTATTTGCCACATATTAATGTGATTAAGACCTTTGGTTTTCAAGGAATCAATTCTTTACTAGGTGTTGAAAAAGGGAGGGAAAAATGATCTTACTAAATTTTTCCTTGTCTGCTGTCAGTTTTGTCTCCCCAACACTTCTGGGTTACTTAGCCCATGTGAGAAAATCACAGGGTGAGCCTTTAAAAACAGTGATAGGCTCTTTGCTGAGATCTTCCCTTTCTTCCCAGGCTTCTGTGTGCATTCATCTTGGAATGTTTAACATGATATGATTTTTCTTTATATACATGGCTTATCTCTAGTTGACAGTAATTCCTTTCCTGAATCCAGCAATTATGAAGGGAAGTCCAAGAGAAAGAATTCCCTACTTTTCATAATGAATGACTATGGGGGGAATCAAACTGTCATTGTCAATATATATTTATTAGCTTACTATTTTAAAATTTTTTTTAATTTATTCATACAGAACTGGGGTACAGAGTTGCAGGGGCAGTGAGAGGTTTCACCAGAGAGAGTGGGAAGCAGAATAGGCAGATCAACGAAGTACACTGCTTAGAGGAGCAGCGGGCAGGTCAGGAGAGGTCTGCCGAGCCATGTGGTTTAGCTCGGGGCGGGGATGGAACTCACACTTAGGCGTCTGTGGCTGGCTTGCAGTGCTGTGTCCTAACCGGTTGTGCCACAAGGGAGGGCCCTATTAGCTTACTCTTTATGGTGGTTCTGGAATTCAATTAGTATTGCAGAATCACAGATAGGCACCGTTGTTTAGGATCGAGGGATTAGTTCTACTTTTAGTCAATAATTGAGTCTATTTTAGCTTAAGTTTCTGTGAGAGGATTTTCAAAGGAAACTTATTAGGAATGCCTTGCTTAAAAAAAGGACAAATGGAAGTTTTGGATATATCTGCATGTGCTGTTCATTTGAATAATATTAAAGTAGTTATTGATAAATAGCACAATAAATCATTGTTTTTGATTATTGAATATCCAGGTCATACAGCTGCCATTTCACCCTGTGTGAGCACAGATGCAGAATTCCTGCTGAAGATACCCAAAAGCATTATTAAATATTTGACAAAATATAAATAAGTGTATCCTGGCTTCCATCCTCTTAAGGCCAGTGTTTTGGGGCTCATTCTTACAATATTAGTAAGCAGGACTTATTTACAATCAAAGGGGGAGCACTTTATTGTCTGCATTCCTATACACTACCTACCTATGATTTCTCCAAGAAATGAAACCACATTTCCTTAGGGTCTTTATTCAACATCAGCATATGTTATCTCTACATTCCTCCTATTAAAAACTGCTTTGGGGAAAAAATATGATGAATTAGGTATAAATGACTAATGCAGCTTAAAATACTACCTTTCCCAGGATTATGGCTTTGTGTTAGTGAAATAAACTATTCAAAAGGATTAAACTCTAGTGGCAAAATTTCAGGTAAGTTGGAGGAGGGGCTTTTGGTTAAAGGGACTTCTGAGCCTAAATGGTAGTCAGCTAGATTTAATCTTAGTCAAAGTTTGTTCTTTTTTATTTGTTTTTAAAGGCTAGGATCTAGCCTAGGGATTGTTTTGATCCTATTTACTTAGAGGATTTTTTTTTTTTCTTTTGGAGGGAGTAGAAGGAGGAATTAAGTTTACTTAAATCTATGGCACCTCATTTAAATGAGTCTTGGAACAACCTGAGGATAAAACCAGCATTGGAATCCCCAATCCAACTGGCATCCCGCTGGAATCGGAGATATTCCAATTTAGGATGCTTTACCGGTAATTCTGGTCAGACTCAAAGCCAATGTTTGAAAGTGTAATAGGAAATCTTTTCTGTGATGATTAAAAGCAGCTTATACAATATGCTAGCTTTAGATTTTATACAATGGTTAAGATTCATATTCACATAAAGTGGATACCTAGCTTGGCATAATTAATATACCTGCTTTTAGTTAATGCTGTTATCTATCTCCAGCTCAATATTGAGAAGATGTGAACAGTTTACTATATGCGAACGTTCACCTTCTGCTCTAAGTAATACCCAGTGTAATTGAAGCAATTCTGGAACTGGTCAAAACGCTCCCACCTCTAGCAGAATGTTTTGAATATCTTTGGTTTTTTTTCAAGTGTTTGTCACTAGCGTGCAAGCGACTTTGTAAGTAATTCTTTGATGGACTTTATGCACTCTTTCCTTTGGATGCATGCCAAAATCATCTGCAGGGCGCACAGCTCTTTATTCAAACTTGGTAATAATTATCTCTGAACACAGACGGAAGAACTGAAGCAGTGACTTCAGGGACACAGAGACTAATTACCATCACGGTACACAGTTAAGTACAGCAGAGACGGGGGCGGGTTTGTTTCCGTATCTATTACGTGCCATCTCGGGTAAAACAAGGCCGTCTTGTCTGTTAACATATTTAAAGCAGTAACTGCAAAAACTGTGCAATGTTATGGTTGAGGCGTTTTATGCCATATGTGTTGACAGAATGTTTGAGTCTCTTTCCGCAGTGAACGAAAACCTTGCCAGGCTGAGTGATTATAGGACCAGCGCAATTCAAAGACTGCACCACCGAAACCACTGGGGTTAGAAGCCGGTGTCGCATTCGGAGTGTATTCACTGTTTCCTTTAACAAAGGCACTATCTTGAAGCAATTTCGCGGGCCATTTTCCCCTTCCCCGCGCGAGCTTTGTCTCCCCGCCGGTGGGGGGCTGAGACTTGGAGAAGCCCCAGTTGTGTTGATGCGAGAGCAAGCACGAGCAGGGCCGGCGTGGGAACCTCCACCAAGCTGCCGCTGTGGTTTCCTGCAGACCGAGCATGCCATTAGGGGAAGTTGGTGTGCAGCCTTTCAAAGAGATACCTGCAGCCTTAAAATTCGGGCTAGACCTGAACCCCTCGCACCGATTAGGGGGACACAAAGAAGCCATCGGCGGGGACGGCAGAGGCCTGGGGCTTTGGCGTTTCGCGGGCAGGGCGCAGGCCAGCCGGGGTCGGCTGGTGGACCACCCCCACTCAGGGTAGCAACCCGCAGGCCTCCCCCGAGCCCAGGCCGGAGCGG